TATCTTGTAGTACGAGATATAAAATAGATTCTGAATTTAATTTCCATTTGTCTTCCCATTCTTGAGAAGAAAATTTATGCGCCAATTCACCACATTTAGCTGTCAGTTCAGTCAAATTTGGTGAAAATTCTACAATTTTTTTAAGTATCTTGTGGTATTTTATTGCCAAATTAGCGGTAGGAACATTTGATTCAAATTTGTATAGATAATTAAATGCATCGTCAATAGATTCATGGAGTAGTTGTTGTTTTGTAAAAGTGGAACACAATAGTGACTGGCTTTGTTCTTTAGAAGAAAACTGGTTTAAAACTTTGATTAAAATTTCAACATTATCAGGACTTTTTAAATCATTCCAGGAAATTAATCGATATATAATTTGCCATATGAATCCCAAACAATGATAAATATCTTCTAATTCCTTTTCCTCGAACAAAGTATCACCATTATTTGTATTAATCACGTTTAAAAAAGATTCCATTTGTTTAAGTAAAAATGGTAAAAAACCTATTACGATTTCAACAATTTCAAGAGCACTTGTACGAGAAATTGATGAAAATCCTTGTGATTTTTTACCGTCATTTTTCTTTAATTTGCTTGCAAAAAAAGGCACTGGTGATGTTGAAGTTTCTGTATATAATTTAAACTCGAGTTTACGATTGAGATCTTCAAGTAGATAGAGCATTTCGCTTGGTTCTAAACGTGCAAAATCACCTGTAATTTCAATATCCGTTGTCTGTTTAATATAACCAAACTCCAAAAGTCCAAAGACTGGCATTTCCAGTTCGCGCATTAATGGCTTTAAGTCGTTAACTGATGCAAAATTAGGCTTCAAAGGGACATTGGAACTTTTAGCGCTTTCATTTTCATTAAATGCACGAACACTTATAACTTTTGCTTTATTAGTAGCCGAACGCCTTAATGTTTTACCAGAATTAGAAACAAGTCTTTGGGAAGATGAAGATCCAGCAATAAGTGTTCCAATCGATTTGTTTTGTTTCTTGCCTCTGTTCTGTGTAGATTGTTGAATTGATTGTGATGGAAATCCAAAAGGCTGAAATGACGGAGTCACTTCTAGCATAGCATTCAATAATTTTTCTAATTCATTTATATGCTTCAATCTTAAATTAAGCTTTTCTGAAACACGATGATAGCGAAATGATGATATTGAAAGTGTTATTACTATCAATAACTATGGCAATGCTAATCGATTAAGAATCAAAAAAATCTTACGATAATTTTCAGCCTCTCTTTGATCACAGAAAGCATTTATTAATTCACGGAACCTAATCAATATTTCAATTATTAATAATTATTATCACTGATAACAATAGACAATTGCCAACAACAATAATAAATATTCACCAGTTAATACAATAAAAAATAGCATTGCAGGCAGTTTCACGTATTTCTTGTGAGAAGTCTTTCATTTCCTGTAAAATAAATGAAATAATTTATTAATAAGCAAAATAGGTTTCAAATAAATTAAATAGGCATGGTCAATTTTTACATTAGGGTCAATTTTTTGAAACATCGTGATTCCAGACCCCAACAAAGCATCGATTTCAAAGAGTGATCCTTCATGTTCTGCCTTAATGCAAGCCTGCAGTAATTTAAACATAGAACAACAACAAATTAGCCAATCGCGTTTCGATTTATAGCGCATGCGTAATTCAGAACTGATCCACGGTTCGCATAGCAATGGGTATATATTGTTGTAAAGTTCATTCTATTATAATAAATATATAAAATATTTTATAAATATATATTAAACTCAAAATAATAATAAACAATTTGCTAATAGCTGGTTCAAAGAATTATTCATCAACCTGATCATCCAATTGCATCCAAATTTCTATTGGAATTTCTTTCAAATGATAGTTTATTTTTTGCAAATCTGATACTTCTTCATGATCAACAATAAAAATATTTTGAAAAGATGAAGCCATTTTTTCATTGATTAGTTTTTCAAGTTTAGAATCTAATAAATTTTTTGAGATAAAATATGCAAGTTCGTCATATGCAAAAGAAAGACAATTCTTTTTTTTTCCAATAAAAATTAAATTTAGTAAACAGCAACAACAACAATAATAATTACATGTTTCAAGTTATTGAATTACCATATGTCTTGAACAATGTTGTTCTATCTTAATTATATGTTCTTCTGCTACTTTTAATAAATAATTTGTACCCCCACGATGACTCTGTGAACCTAATATAATAATAACATCAATATTAATTAATTAAATTATATAAAATAATGCCCTGTAAAATAATTAACCACACTGTCAGTAACACCACCATTACTGATGAACACCAATTACCATTATCTTCTTTAAAATTTGATGTTAATTGTTTAGAACCTAGTGTTCGCACCAAAGCCAAGGCACCAATGACACCTATTTGCGTATACTTTTCATTAGAATTGGAAAGCATTTTTTGAATAATAATTGAGAACTCTGCTAATAATCCACCGTTAATTTCATAGTTTTTTGAGTCCTTTCAAAAAAAGTTTAGCGATAATTAAAATAATAATTGGAAAAATCATGCAAACGATTTCAATAGTAAATATAAATACCTCATAGATAAATTTACAAAAAATTTCAAACAAGACTCTAGTTTGGTCTAGAGTTAACTGGTCCAAGGAATCCAAAAGGCTTTTTATGAAGATAGAAAATCTAACCATTTCTTTGACATTAGTTTCAACAAGGTGCAGCAGAACTGATAATGCGGAATCAACTTCTGTAAAAGAGCCACAACCAATATGAGTTGCCAGAGAACAAATTATTTCTTGTTGTTGAATAGTATCAAAAGCTACAAAAGCGCTATGATAAAAAGCACAAGCAGCACGAACAATGGTTGCGTCTTGAAGACTTGTACGTAGCAAGCATTCAGATAATGAAAGTATACCAGGGAAATAATATTCTAAGCCCGCATGGTGGTTGATGATAGTTTCTTTCAATAATGATTGTGTAAATAAACCAACAGAAATTTTTTTACGAAAAATGGCCTCTACTTTTTTCTTTGAACTTTTAATTGAATGCAAGATCAACAATACCAATATATCAATAATCTTGTGATCAATCTATTTAAAAAAATTTTTTGATAAGATTGATTTAAAAAACTAGAAAACAATGAATTTTATTAGAATTTGAATAACGATTACCGGAGAGCTTATATCATTTATGATTTTTAACCATGCATCATGAATATATTTGCGAGACAAAATGCAAAATTTGATTGACTCTAATATTAAAGGCTCTGGTGTTTGGTCTCTTTTTCTTTTTTGATTACGCTTAGAGACAGCCAATTCATCTTGAATTTTTTCAATGGATCTGAAATCAACTTTATCTCGGATTTTTCGGATAACCTGAAAAACATTATATGGTTGATTATTAATTATTATCTTTATGGATAATCAAAATTAATATAAATGAAACCCATAATGAAATCACCTTGTTAACATCATCAGAAGTAGATGCATCAAATAAGAATTGTATGATTATTGGCAAATCATCCAAATTAGCACATTCAAGCTTATCAATAACAGATTCTTGGATTTGTCGTAGCATTTGACTATTATTATCAAAATTAGATAAAGCATCAAGAATTGGAACAAGCAATTGATGATTTTGATCCATCAAATTTACAAGTTCTTTTATAAAAGTCTGCAATAATATTAATGTTAATAAAATATTGTTGTTGTAGTTGTCATAAGATATTAATAAATTCAGTAAAAAGTTGACTAATTTAAAAATAATCCAGTTAATTTCATTGAATTTACCTTTTGTTCAGAATCATTTATAATTTCAGGTAGACTTGTAATGATTTCTCGTTGAACACCTAATGGTGAAAGTGGGATCATCTAATGATAATAATGATAATAATCATAACAATAAGTACAACAACAACAACAACAACAACAACAACAACAACAACAACAATTATAATATAATTAAATTAAATTTACCTCAAGGATTTTTTCAGATAAACGAATTGGGTCAACTATATGGTCAAGATATTTTAATTGTTGTAGTATTAATCTAGGTAATGGGGATTCGATAGTTTCATCGTCGGACTCGGATATGAAGGTAGGTAATCTTTCCAATAAATGATCAATAAGCTTTGTTTGCAAGAAATCAATGCTCAAGAGAACTTTAATCAAACTATCGGCTGTTGCACCACTTTGGTTTAATCCCCAAAAAAACGAAAAAATATTGATTAAAAGCAATAATTGAAAGTTAAGTTGTTAAAATAAGAGAACAAATTATTAAAAAAACAATTAATTCATAGGTAATGTATAAAACTGATATCTGCCTTCTTGTTTGACCGTTGACAGATAATGGATGCAGGCATAATGTCAAATATTTTGCATCTTGGTCCAAATATTCTTGTAATGAATCCAGAAATTGACCGATAAATGGATCTGGAAATTTTGGTTGGTTTTTAAGCTTTATAGTAAGTTGGCGACGAAACACAGAAGGCTCAACAGCTATTAAATAATTTTGTATATTGATTAAAGTAATTGAAAAGCATGATTTTATATTAAAAAACTTAATATTTACGTATGTTATGAAATTCTTCTTCACACTGATTAATGCTTAAACCAACTTCGGTTAAAAGAGTTGAGAATATTTGTTTTATTATTATAGGTTGTGCTGCTGGCTTTACGACTCGTTTGATTCTCATTTTAATTCGATTTAAAAAAAAAAATTCGCGTTTACGTGTTTTTTTTTTATTTTAGTCACATGTCACATGTAATTGATTTATGATTGGGCGCTTTGGCGCAGAATTTTATTACTAATATAGAAAACAAGTTATAGTATTAGGTAGTAGTATTTAGTGACGTATGTCAATCTACCTACATAGATAACCTTATCGTATTGTGATCAACTTTTTTTTCTTTCTATACCTCTTGTTGCACCAATTTATTTTCTTTTAATTTTTTTTTAATTGAAAAGATCTAGAATAGATCAATACAAAAAACTTATAACTCTATAGACATGCCAAAAAATAAAGGAAAGGTAAAGAATATATATACATATATATTAATTATAAATTAAAATAATAGTACAGTCAGCGCTCTATATAGTGAAGCTTGTGTTTTCATTATATAGAACGATTCATTATCGTTACTTGTATATATATATATATATATATATTATTATGAATTGGAAAATTTCTAACTTCATTATATTGCTATATAGAGCGCCGACTTGTACAATAATTTACAAAAAAAAAATTTTTGATCTAATGCTTTATTTTAGGGAGGTAAAAATAGAAGAAGAGGTAAAAATGAAAATGAATCTGAGAAAAGAGAACTTGTATTTAAAGAAGATGGTCAAGGTAAAAATATAAAGATGAACATGAATAATTTTAAAATGCATTTATTTGTTTTAATAATTATTTATTTACTTTTAACATAGAATATGCACAAGTTATAAAAATGCTTGGAAATGGTCGCTTGGAAGCACAATGTTTTGATGGAGAAAAACGTTTAGCACACATTCGTGGTAAACTACGGAAAAAAGTAATAATATAACAAATAAATACCATATTTACTATATTTACTATAATACTTATCGTCACATTAATAATTTAAAATAGGTTTGGATTAATCAAGGAGATATTATCTTGATTTCGCTTCGTGATTATCAAGATTCCAAAGCTGATGTTATTTTAAAATATACAACTGAAGAAGCAAGGAACTTAAAAGCATATGGAGAATTGCCAGAAAATGGTAAAGAGATAAAAAATACAAAAAAATTTCATAAATTATTTGTTAATTATTTAATTGACGAATTATTTTTGGATTTATTAAATTATTAGCGAAAATCAATGAGACAGATACCTTTGGACCAGAAGATGAAGAATGTAACTTTGAATTTGATGTTGACGAGGTATATAATAAATATGTTAAGAATATAAACTTTACTACATCTTATTTACAAATTACTAAAATTTTATTATTATTATTTAGATTTAAAAAAAAATATATATTATTATATAATAACAATAATCAATTGTTATATATACATATGTATGTGTATATTAATAAATTTAATATTAATATGAGCAAAAAAAAATTTTAAACATTAATGCATTTTTCAAAAAAAAAAAAATAATAATATTACGTTTGGTAGTGGAAACTATCATTTTAATGTGACAATAATTCTTCAAAAAAATAAAAATTTATCTTTTTAACAAATCTTATTGTTATTGTGATTGAATTTATAATATAATTATTAAGATGGAAGAATATCCGGACAAAAATAAGGAAGGATATGACATGTTCAACTTGTAATAGATGTAATTCTTGTCGTTAGCAAGCACTCTTTACTATATCCGATTCATTTTATTTTGGACATTTGGACAATTTGATTCCAACTGGCACAATATATATTTCTATTAGATGGTGTATATGTATCATAACAACTGAAATTTTGAAAACAAAGGAAAGTTCGTGTTCAATCAACATACATGGATAAAGGAAACTCTGTTGCTTTTATTGGTAAAAACTTCAATCCCCAATGTCAGATATTATAGTCCAAACGACTTCATCAATCAATATCGTATTAAATAGCATTTAGCTTGGTAAATCTTACATGTTGCATGTAAATTCGTAAATTTCGGTAATAATAAAGAATCCAAATTATTTTCTCCCAAACTATCATAACCATTTACTGCTTCTGGATGATTTGATTTGCAGATTGAAGTAATAGTTAATTGTTTAATTTGGTTTTGTGCCTTTATCAGTAAAGCTATATCATAATCATTTTATTATAATAAAGGGAATAATATATTTTTATAATCTGAATATTTTTACAAGTGTTCGCCAATTTATAAAAATCTTGAGAAATAATGGTTGTAAATGGATCACAAGAGAACTTGTATTTAAAGAAGATGGTCAAGGTAAAAATATAAAGATGAACATGAATAATTTTAAAATGCATTTATTTGTTTTAATAATTATTTATTTACTTTTAACATAGAATATGCACAAGTTATAAAAATGCTTGGAAATGGTCGCTTGGAAGCACAATGTTTTGATGGAGAAAAACGTTTAGCACACATTCGTGGTAAACTACGGAAAAAAGTAATAATATAACAAATAAATACCATATTTACTATATTTACTATAATACTTATCGTCACATTAATAATTTAAAATAGGTTTGGATTAATCAAGGAGATATTATCTTGATTTCGCTTCGTGATTATCAAGATTCCAAAGCTGATGTTATTTTAAAATATACAACTGAAGAAGCAAGGAACTTAAAAGCATATGGAGAATTGCCAGAAAATGGTAAAGAGATAAAAAATACAAAAAAAATTTCATAAATTATTTGTTAATTATTTAATTGACGAATTATTTTTGGATTTATTAAATTATTAGCGAAAATCAATGAGACAGATACCTTTGGACCAGAAGATGAAGAATGTAACTTTGAATTTGATGTTGACGAGGTATATAATAAATATGTTAAGAATATAAACTTTACTACATCTTATTTACAAATTACTAAAATTTTATTATTATTATTTAGATTTAAAAAAAAATATATATTATTATATAATAACAATAATCAATTGTTATATATACATATGTATGTGTATATTAATAAATTTAATATTAATATGAGCAAAAAAAAATTTTAAACATTAATGCATTTTTCAAAAAAAAAAAAAATAATAATATTACGTTTGGTAGTGGAAACTATCATTTTAATGTGACAATAATTCTTCAAAAAAAT